TAGGATAGGGAAGCTTCTTCGTTGTAGTGACTAACTAGACTTCTTAATTCGGATTGAAGGGAGCGACACGATAATTCGAAAAGGGTTAAAAACGTATCAGCGTCAATGGTGCGTCGGTGACGTAGAAGGCGGAGAAATCTGCTAAGTCTAAAAATGAAAGATAGGACCACCTTTTGCGGGCGGTTGGTTTCTCAGAAAGCGGGCATGTGAACGAGTTCAGCGCAACGCGTTTGGTAACACCATGCCAAACCACATTCCAGTGGAGTTGCTCCAGTTGTGCCGCTGCTGGCAACGCTCGTCCAAATCACCGACTATACTAGTGGGCGGATCGCTTCTGAAGACGAAGTGCTTTTGAATTCCTGCTCAGCAACCAGCGAACCTTCTGTCTGAAAGCGCTACACCTCACTTCCCTGGCAGCCAAGTAATTGATTCGTGTGGTACATATGCTTCCCCGATGCGCACTTTTAGCGTAAGTGCTGCCTTTAAATTCTTAGTAAGAACAAGTTCAGGTGACGTGACGAATGGATATCACAGCTGAAACAGGTAACCAAAGTTCTAGTCTTCTGCCGAGGAACTTCGGTAGCAGACCCTACAGGGTTTGAGCTGCATTAAACACCCATGCTGTACTATGGCTCTTGTATCTGGAACGGACTCGTAGCTATGAAGATGTTCATTGTAATCATTTGCTGTCGTTTCCAAGTGAGCAAGTCCCCGATACATCTTTGGCTACATTTACAAAAGGGCCGCCATTCACTTAGAGGATCCGTAACTGCGGCTCAGCATCAACAAAAACAATGTTGTATTGAGTTGGCTACTTTGAAATGGCCTATTTGACCAACGATTATTTTGAGTGTAAGAGCTGTATCAAACCACGTCAGACTAAATTATCTCCTCCATGTAAGTCACTCGCACTTCACCTTTTCTTACGCAAAGCATGGAGGTTAACCTTATAGTACTCTTTCAGGTACAACTCGAAGGAGAAGGTACTCAAATTTTGACGTCGTCGCGGTTACCGAAACTACAGGGGTGGCCAAAAAAAAGAGACACTTGACTCAACATTTCAGACAGCATTATTCACACTTCGCTGAAATCAAATCGACTGCCCCCAACTCAGTATTGGAGAGCACTTTCTAGTCTATCTAAGCCTTACATGATAGCCTTTTACACCGACGATATCAGAAGATTTTCACACGGAAACATGGTTCACAGTATGAGCTCATTGGGTTCGACGAGGTACCATAGATCATTGCGACGTTTCTGAAACGCTGGTCAAAAGCGGTTCTGCACAGTCACAGCTAATGTCTCTAGGAAGCTATTCAGCAGTTAATCTATTGGAGAAATCATGAAGCAGCTTCAGACCGGAGCGGTTACGGTAAGCCTCGTTAAGCTCGACGGTGGCAGTAGATGACGTCATATTCCGAAGACGGCGGGGACAGTGAAGGAAGGCCTGCTTCTGTTTACGGGGGAGCACCTTAGGAATATTTCACCGTGAAACTTTTATTAACACCGGCTCCCAGTGCGACGAAAAGTTCGATGATGTGCGCCATGCGCAAAGTGTCTCTTTTTTTTGGCCACCCCTGTATATGCTGAGGAGTGCTGCAATGGTCTAAGTCAATTAGTCGGATGGCGCCCATTCTTGGTTACATGGTGCGGGAGGCAGAACCAGGGTAAAGCGAGGCGTCGAGGACAATTCGGAAATACGACCCTCCCCCCCTCCCTCTGCCGAAGGCCGAAGTCCATGAAACAACCCACTTTAAAAGCCGATCTTTGAAAAAGTTGTTAAAAACTGCTCATAAAAAAGCCCTGCTACCCCATCGTCCACAAAAAAAAACTCGTTTAAAAAGTACAAAAGTGAAAAAGTCAAAGAATGATCATTAATGACGAGTCCTGTCAAACGAGCAAACGAGAAACGGAGCAGAAAACGTCAAACTAGTCACTAGAAATGGCGTACTATGACAACACCTCTTCTTTGTTTATTTCCTCCACAAGACTGCTGGAGTTCTGTCATGCACAAACGCGCAGACCATCTTTTTATTCGAGCATTTTCGAGCAAATGTTTCGGTTTGAAAACAGTCGCTCGCTGACACCTACGATTTTCTACTATGCTCTCGGAGACGCTCTCTTGAATGGTGATCTCCCATTGTGAAAGGTTGGGTTTTAGCTGAGAAACGAAGGCGAGAAACGAAGGCGCAAAAGGAACGACATTTCAGAGTAGTCAACCTAGTAAATTAGTTTGCATGCAGTTCGAACCTGAACTAGATAGAAAACGTGTGAGCAATTAACTTGAGGCAGATCATCGCCGGTTGAAAGTAGCAAAATATTGCGCAAGTCGAGGGACTGTCTGGACGTCCTCCTATGCAGAAAGCTCAACTCATCCAGGCACTTGGTGGAGGTAGTATGCTTTCACTTAGAGTGTCCACAGAATCGCAAATGATTGGGGAGTAGGGAAGATTCTCTGTTGAACTCTTCTTGACGGGGCTGCCGTTGTACTATCAAAACAATGTAATTTTTTAAATTTTCCTGTAAAAATGTGTAGCCCATATTTTTCTTGAAATAAAATGAGCTAAAATCCAGAGCAGCTGCATTCAGTGAAGTCGGTGAATAACCACGGATCCTTCATCCTATCCGAAACAGCAATTTTCAGAGCATCAATGGGCTTTGAAGCGCAAGGCAAGCGGTCGCGAGGAGCTCCAAAGAAAAGGAGGACAGACGTCACCGAGAAGGACCTAAGCGAAATCAGGGCCACGGCAGGCAAAGACAGCGGACCCTGCGACTGCGCGGAACTAACGCTAGGGAGAAGCTCCATACTTTTAAAACGAAAGGTATTAGAATGATTTCAGACGCTGTAGTTTAGGGCATTGGCGACACTGCGGCTCGACGTGGGAAAGCACTTTTTGCCACGTGGGACAATGCGGCTCAATGTGGGGACATAGCATCAAGATAACGCTTCTGCCCAGGATTTTCAAAAGTATGACGATGTCATCCTACTATATATATAAGCGGCTAGTCGTGATGTTCTCTTGGTTGTGTGTTGGTGTGTGCGTGGTGTATGTTTGATAACGAAAATTCAATAGCGTCGAGACACAGTACGTAGCGGCAGTGGTTCTTAAAGTATGTTAGTAGGGTGGGATGGACACAATTTGGTACGTGGATAGAACTGATAACGACCTGAGTATGAGGCTGAGAAGAGGGCTAGAAAGCGAGCATCCGCCGAATTGCGTTTTGCGGTTCGATATTGTAAGCGACGGTCTACAGCTATCAAGGTCTTATGGGTGGCGCCGGAAATTTGTGGGATGGAGTGTGGAGGAGCGATACAACTCGATAATGGGCTGTAAGGGATGCGCCAGAAAGCTGAAGTCGTCGATTTCCGATTGCCTGGCTCGCCTTGACACCCAGAGCAAGCAGCTATTACAATGTTTATGTGCGCGAGACGGGACATTGTTGGTGGTGCCAGACAACTGATAACGATGATAGAGGCCCCGATAAGGGGTCGTCCAGAAACGCAAAAGTCGTTAGTTTCCGTTTGGCAAGCGTGACACTAGAGCGTGTCCTAGTACAAAATGTAGAATAGTCGTTATAGTACAAACGAAAAGTACGTGCCGACATTATTCCGATCATAAATTTTAAAAAACGAAGTCTTGGCAGCGAATGGACATTTAGTCCGATTTCTGATATTATAGAGGAGAAGCGCGCAAAGCGTCGATTCAAAGGCGCTAATCTTTCGTGGTCCTATAATGACGAAAGGTGGGTAAGGAGAGGAGTAGAGCGATTAGCGGTGCCTCGAGAGACAGAGGTAGGCCAGAGTGGTTTGAGAGTGTGGAGGAGCTGGGGACGAGCAAGTCCTATCACCGCTAAATTATCTTAATTCAAGAAAAATGCTGGATGTTTACAGTTGTGATCAATATACCACAGCTCTGACGTTATCACGCGTATTCTTCTATGAGCTTCAGTGAAACTGTGGAGGGTCTAATACAGTCAATGGTGAGATGGTTGATGGAGTATCTCATGCTGATATTCCATGGTTCCTCCAACTTCGCTAAAGCCTGCCGTGTGATGCGCGCGATAGCGGGCGAAGCAAAACTGGTAATCAATAAGGTGTTGTAGTGCTTATGGTGAGCATAACCCATGCTCATCTTTCTCAGTGGTTTTATTCACGGGGTATTTGAAAGAGATTCTCTTGAGTAAATGTTATTTCCGACTGTACATATACATGGTTCTTTGCTTGCAGTTAGCTACAGCATTAATACACCACAAGAAGAGAAATGGATCCAATAACATTTACGGATTCTGGAGTGGAAAATCGATGTTTGTCTGGCTCGCTTCGAAATCATACCAGGGCCAAACGAAAATATTTACGCCTTCTTTGCAAGGTATCGAAAAAGATATGAGAAGTGCAAAGTCTCAACTCTCTCTACTCTATCATCCAACAATTTTCGTGCAGGTGGATTCCTGCTGGTAAAAAAAAGGCGCGGCCCCACGCGGCAGACACGCCAAAAATCGCTTTGTCGCCAATGGGTTAAGACAGCGAGTTTAAGTGAAACCAGGTTTGAGCACCAAATACGCCAGTCAAATGGTAATAACGAGGGAAACGCAGTCTTCATCGGGAACAACAAGTCACATTCCAAATCACACAGTCTTGTTAGACAGACAGTTCGTGGAAACTGATATATTCTTGATCAGAATGCGGAAGAGAATTCAGAAGTCTTTCCTTTCGCTAAACAATGACAACAACTGGTAAATCAACTGTTTGTAGACAAAGTTTTAATGGAGTACCTTTCCCAAAACTCCTGCAGGAGAAACCCTCATCATTAAAACCCACCAGGTCGAGCGCGAGCCTCCTGGATCTACTTTGAGACAGAAACACTAGCAACGAACCAAAAAACCTGATCCCGTTCCCGGGCATAGGCCATGTGTATCACTAATGATTGCTCTTCCTAAGTTTTTGCTCCATGAGACCAGGAAAAAGACCCATTCAAAAATCAGCCATGAAAAAACTGACCACTACTAGCCAGTGTCATACTCTTTTCCATAGTCGCCGTCGACTGCGTAGTACGAATCGGCCGCGTTTTCTTCACACTTCCCCTTCTCACATCCATTTTCACCAGATCCATATACTCGCTTAGTAAAGCTAGCTTATCGCCGTCGTTCATCGCCAGTCGTGCGGCCATCGTCGCGTCTTCTTCGTCACTCCACCTCAAGCATCGCATGTTTTTGGTCGTATCGTCCTAACAGGACCAAAGGACAACATTTGAAATTCTAGATCATGCATTTGTCTAGAAAAGCGGTAAACTAATGAATTTATGATTCTGAGTTCATGACACTCTCACTTTTTCTGAGCAGATGAAGCACATGTAAACCTGTCAGAAACAAGAAACATTTTCATTTCAGAGGAAAAGGAACGAAATTTATGGTGTTCATAACCTCACCAGCTGAAATCCGGTCCTGGATCGATGACAAAGTGGACCGGAAGTAAATTCCTGTTGAAATCGGTGATTGGGATAATCTCTAAATAAAATCACGTGAGAGAGGTCATTTTAATCAAATCGTGCAGAACAATTGTTGAACAGTGTTGATGCGTCAAAGTGTCATCTGCGCTTATGAAATCGTCCCTGAACATGAACAAGAACAAATGAAGCAAAGAAAAGTTCAGTGCGTGGTATTAATAAACACACTGACAGCACGCATTTTGGCTTAATTTGCAAAGAAAGGATACTAGGCCGCCGTGTCCACTCAAGAGGAGGTGTTATTTTATTCATTTATTTTCGTCAGCAGACGTGCTTCTATGATTGAACGGGATATGCAATCCAGAGCTGTGGGCTAAGGACAGACACAACATCAGATGGCAAATTGAAGAAAAAAATTCAAAAAAAAAACTTGACAAGGATGGGAAGAGAGAAGAATGAAGACATGTAGCGTGAGTAATAAAGGAGTGCTTCATATTTCATTTCATATATTATTCATCAACACCTACAAAAGTCCGCATGGAGAGCTTACGAGCACCTGCTAACAGCATTAACACGTTGACGAGAGGCACGTTATGGCCTTTTCCCATGTGGGACATGAGCGATCTGGCGGCCGCGATTTCCGCTGTCCTACGAGATACGTTTTTTGGAACATTTCCGAATGCAACGAAGAATGGAGCGCACAATGGGAGCTGGGAGGGGATCAGATGGCGTCACGAAATATAGAGTAAATACGAGTACAAAATACGAAGTTATACAAAGATTCAACCAAAAATATTTGGCTGAATAACTTCAAATTAGAGGGTCGAGTCATTGCTGAAGGTTGAGGGTGACTACGGTACTCGCCGTAAAAACTACGAAATTTACGCGAAAAACGCCATTTCGCGTTTTTTTTTCGTTTTTTCGTTATAACTCGGTCTAAAATTAAGATTTTCAAAATGCAAAAACAGTATTGAACTCAGCTCGTCGAGTTCTATAAGAATCTGTCCTGAAGTTCTCTAGCGGCACTATCTTGGATTGCGCCATGCACTCGATTTTCATCTCAAAAAGTAGTTGCCCGCATGTGATGTGCATATAATCCCGCTTATGCGAGCTGACCGCTACACAGAAAGAAGGGTCTCAAAACTTACCCCAGAATGCGCCACGTACTCAATCTAATCGACTACATTGTGAGATTAAATGAATGTTGTTTTCCGAATTCTTAGATCTTCATTTCGTTTTGAGCGCTTGCTGGCTTTACGTGTTCCCTCTGCTCTCAATATCCCAAACTTTCTATTTCAAGTGAAGTCTTTGAACAGTTCTCAGCAGGCATAGTGGGCCTATTATGTGACATTTTTCTATTTTAAGAGGAGATTTTGCAGAAAGCTGTGAAGATAACGAACAATTTCTTTCACTGTCGTAGACTACGGTCACTTGCTGTAAGAATTATACGGAAACCTTGGTCGCAGGTGAGCGTTTCTGTGGTGTGACCTCAAAACATCTCACCCCTTGTCATGCCCTTGCCCCCTATTACGTTACAAGTCTTATTTTCAGAGGAATGTTTTGTAGAAAGCTGTAAAGATAGCGAAGAATTTCCTTCACTGTCGTAGACTATTTTCACTTGTCTGTGGGAATCATGTGGAAAACTCGGTCGCAGGTGAGCGTTTCTTCCGTGGTCGTTGGCCCCAACATGCCTCCTCGTCATGCCCTTGTGGGAAGATCAAATTTTTCGCATCTCCAGATGAACTCGCAAACCTGAAATGTGCCCCGTTAGCTTCCCCGTGAAAATGCTATCGAATGATATGCATTACTCCCCCCAGTTGATGGCCGATCGGGCACTACTCCACTATAACTGCCCCAAAATTTCAGTTTCACTTTTCGTCGAAACTTTGCCTATCGGGGTAATTCGATGCCCTGATTACAAATATGACATTCATTTTTGATGCTGGTGTCATTTGGCGCCACGGCTGTTTCCACCAAATCCGCTGAAAACGTGTGTATAAGGGTTATTTGAGGTCCTAATCACGAATGTAGCACCCACTCTTGACGCCGGCGCCATGTGGCGCCACAAGCAACACTTCACAGTCAGAGCGTACTCTTAGGCACCTTTCTCAGAGCGCCGACTGTCAGGCCGTGGAAAAGGTCATCGAATCGGAGATTTTTGGGAAGGAGCCAGAAGCATATTTTAGGTTTTCGACAAGGAGAGTAACGATGGCTCTTGCTACCCTTTAGCTACTCAATCGTCAATGAGAGATACTGGACTTAGCTTTTAAGGATGTGTACGAGACGCTCAAGTTAAATAACCTGCACTTACTGGTTGCGATCCATGGGGTTGATGTCTGTGCCACTATGCCATTCATGTCAACGATTCATGAGCCTAATCGATGACGAACGGCACAACGGCTGGATTTGCAATGGTCGAGCGCGCCACACTGTACCGTCGAACGAGACCAGGGTCTACGTTCATGCCCGAAAAGATTCCTTTTTCGAGAACTGTGACCTTCCTGAGTCCACGGTGTTCGCACTGCCCTATTCCTGGCTGCGCGACATGGGCAAGGTGAAGGACAAGGAATACGAGCTCTACGTCGGCCACACCAGTTCAATTCAGTGGGAGCGGTTCTTCCGCGACGTACGTATGTGGCACTTCAGGAGGAACCCTCCGATCATCGGAAGGTTCAGGTGCGAGATGGGAATTGGCGAAACACTGGTTGTCAAACGCAAATACAACCGCCGACGTTGGGTACGCAGGCACAAGTGGCTGTTTGGAGGCATTGAAAGAGGAATTGAAAGAGGAATTGAACTAGTATTCCTGCGGATGGTCCAAAGAAAGACGTTTCAACTCTACTGCGGCTCATCATGAAGTACACTGAGCCCGGTACTACTATCCTCAATGACAGCTGGAGAGCTTACAGTCAAATTGCCGCTCTGCCAACGCATACAGGCATCTCCAGTGAAAACGTGAAATATGCTTCTGGCTTCGCTCACAGTTTTCCTCGGTCTGGCTCCTTCCTGTCGTGGGAAAGGCTGATTTGATGACCTTTCCCACGGTCTGAGAGTCGGCGCTCTAAGAAAGGTGCCTGAGAGTACGCTCTGACTGTGAAGTGTTGCTTGTGGCGCCATATGATGCCGGCGTCAAGACTGGATGTTATATTCGTGATAAGGACCCCAAATAACCCTTACACACGTTTTCAGCCGATTTGGTGGAAACAGCCGTAGCGCCAAGTTGGCACCAAACGGCGCCAAATGACACCAGCATCAAAAATGAATGTCATATTCGTAATCAGGGCATCGAATTACACCAATAGGCAAAGTTTAGACGAAAAATGAAACTGGATTTTGGGGCAGTAATAGTGGAAGTGCCCGATCGACCATCAATTGGGGGGAGTAATGTATTTCATACCGATAGCCTTTTCATGGGGAAGCTAACGGGGCACATTTCAGGTCCGCGAGTTCATCCGGAAATAGCAAAAAAAGTCTGATCTTTCCACAAGGGCGTGACGAGGAGGCATGTTTGAGGCCACACCACGGAAGAAACGCTCACCTGCGAAAGAGTTTTCCACATAATTCCTACAAACAAGTGACCATAGTCTACGACAGTGAAGGAAATTCTTCGCTATCTTTACAGCTTTCTACAAAACACTCCTCTAAAAATGAGACTTGTCACGAAATGGGGGCAAGGGCATGACAAGGGGTGATGTTTGGGGTCACACCACAGAAGAAACGCTCATCTGCAACCAAGGTTTCCATATAATTCTTACAGACAAGTGACCGCAGTCTACGACAGTGAAGGAAATTGCTCGCTATCTTCACAGCTTTCTGCAAAATCTCCTCTTAAAATAGAAAATGTCACATAATAGGCCCACTATGCCTGCTGAGAACTGATCAACGATTTCACTTGAAATAGAAAAGGTGGGTTGAGAGCAGAGGGGACACGTAAAGCCAGTAAGCGCTCAAAACGAAATGAAGATCTAAGAATTCGGAAAACAACATTCATCTAATCTCACAATGTAATGGATTAGATTGAGTACGTGGCGCATTCTGGGACAGAGTCAACCCTGGTTGCGCAGTTCTCAACGGCCACGTTGCGCGTTTCACCCGATTAAACACGCTCTCTCGCGCGAACATTCACGCTCGCATGCTCGAGCCGTCTGTGTCTCCGCCCATACAGCATCTCTCGACGTGCCGTTGCGAGCTGCGCAACGCAGGGTTGACTCTGTTCTGGGGTAAGTTTTGAGACCCTTCTTTCCGTGTAGCGGTCAGCTCGCATAAGCGGGATTATATGCACATCACATGCGAGCAACTACTTTTTAAGATGAAAATCGAGTGCATGGCGCAATCCAAGATAGTGCAGCTAAAGAACTGTAGGACATATTCTTATAGAACTCGACGAGCTTAGTTCAATACTGTTTTCACATTTTGAAAATCTCAATTTTAGACCGAGTTATAACGAAGAAACGCGAAATCGCGTTTTTCGCGTGAATTTTGCAGTTTTTACGGCGAGTACCGTGCATTTCAACTAGTGGTTCGAGAGGGATCAACAAAATGCGTTCTAGATGTTAAACAACAATTCCTAAGGTACGAGTGCGTTGCGGCCACAAAAAAAGCAAGAATAATCAACATGCGTTGCAGTAGATGAATGTTTGAATACGAAGCGCAGATCTTGCCATCCGTAGTAGCATTATTTGCACTTCGTACCTTGTAAAACTTGTTTTTATACCTTCGCCTTACTAAATTCGCTTGCTCATTCAAGAGTGAGAGTTGAAGTTTAAGATAACCGAAAAGCACGTAAGGTTTAGAAAACCTCTGCCAATAAAGCATATCTAACCACTCCATGGACCATAGTTTATAGTTTGTTAATGTGTCGAAGTATTAGGATTCAGAAAGTTCTGTCGTTCTCCGACACTTCACATTTGGATGCTTCATTTTACTTGAACTCAGAGAAATTGCCATCGGTGTGTATAACCTCTTGAAGAGCTTTCCCTGCTCTATCCAGATCAGCTCAGCTTTGTTCTAATGCACTTTCTTATAACATTTCCAGAGCTTTGAATACCGTATACTCAATGAGCGGGTTGGCACGATTCTTTTTTTCTAGCTTTAAATAGAGCTGAAAGTAACGGGAACAGTTCAAGATATTAACGATGCACTTGGCTTATTCCTAATAAGTGTGCTCAGAAGCAGTAGTCCAAAAAGTTATTGTATAAAAAGCGAGAGTCTTGGGTATGATAAGAGTGGTAGTCGGATATCGGACGTTGCCACCAACTAGCCAAAAGTTCTGATTGAAGCGCTCGTACGCATGACTATACAAGAGGTTCTGCCCAACCTAAACGTATATGGTTTGTGGAGCAAAGTCATACGGAAGTTGATGAGAAGTCAAAAAATCTGATAGGGAGTGCCGCGACAGACCACCAAGTTGAAGGGTTAACCATCAATTTCTAGCTTGTTTTATATATGGAAGCGACTCGCTTTTCTAATAATTCGCAACGTTGAATAAAGAGCGAATTACTTCCTATAGCCCACTAAGTCTTGCTGAATAGCTCTACAAACTTTGCAAAACTTCAATTGGGTTGAAGGCATGTTATGGCAACTTTCGTCAGGTCAGCGGCAGTCCAAGCCCCCCGTTTCAGGTGAAACTGTTACAGTGGAGGAGAACTCCTGACATTTTATCAAAATTTGCCAAAAACTTCAAAATGCGAACAGCATTTCTCATTACGAAGGGACGGGCACATCTCCGACAGTTGTCTTGAACGCATCTCGCATAACCATCCCTGCACAAGTTGTACCAGCTAAGCTAGGAAGGGGTGCTGCAGATGTCCCACTTAGTATACTTCTGGCCATCAGCTGCCACTGCTTCGCGGGCCTCGAGGGTCCCTTCAAAGAGAAATGGTTCAAAACACAGCCCGATTGGAACGACCCTTGCTCAGTTCATCCCTCCAGAGCTCCACTATTCTAAACAAACTTATCCAATGGAACGGCGTTTTATAGAAGAAGGTGGTGTATTTAACGGTTTTTATTTTAACTTGAAAGGTTTGATTTAGGACGAGATACATACATTTGAAATTCGGGGTATAAAAACGACAGAACTTTTTGAAACAGCTAATATAAAGAACTTGAAAAGTCGCGCAAGCGATAGCATAATGGATGAGACGGATGGGACGGGTTACCGCGTCATGCTGTCGCCAATGGTTAAAGCATGTTGGGCCATTCTATGAGCTACGTCATTGACGTCTAGTCATGCTGCGGTGCGATATACAAAATAAATACAAAAAACACAAAAGAAGTCGCACATGCGCAAAAAAAGATGAAATGAGTGCGATGCACATGTGAATCGCTGCCATCAATGTGTAAAAATGAAACTCGGCACTCACGCTCCCAAACAATATTCTTTCTTAAGGGTAAGGCCTTGGATCAAACTCACGTAGTAATCCCTCTAGAATATGAACATAGGATTGCAAAGTGGATCGGAAAAGTAGAAAAAGGAAAAGAAGTCCTCAAAACATCGGTAATACGAACTTCACTTCTTTACTCTACGCTGCGGAGAATAACAAGAAGACACAGCGAGATAAGGCCCCTTTCAGTCTTACACCGTACGGACCGCAGACTATGAAAGCGAAGAGAGTGAAAAGCGTCAACACGCGCTTGGGCGCACGATGCGTACTTGGCGCACAGTCGGCGCCTTCCGATCGATAAATTCGGTTTCATTACATTCTATTTTTGTTTTTCAGGTGTTCCACGTGCCATGTTGCTTTTGCTCGTGTTTTTTGACGAGAAACGTCTTCTTTTTCGCGTGAGTCATTGCTTTCCAACTGTCCTAGAATGGCTAGGTTCATACAGTGTGTTTGAAAGTGGTAGTAAGCCCCAGGTGAGCTCATTAGTAAGCAAAAGCAGTAATCCATAGGAAAGTTTGAGTTCAATCCATACATACGTTTTTAGTCAAACAAGCGCAAGTGAAAGTAAAACGGCGTACAAAAAGTCAAAAAAATAGAAAAAAATGTATGAAATTAGGATTATCGATCTGAAGGCGCCGACTGCACGCCAAGTACGCATCGCGTGCCAGAGCGCGCGTTGACGCTTTTCAGCCTTTCCGCATGGTCCGTGCGGACCGCGCGGAGAGGGTGGAAGCAGCCTAAAAAATAATGTGAGTCACGGGGGAGAAGAGAACTCAGAATCGACAGAGCATAACAAATGAGCATTAAGATAAAGACATCTCTGTCCACTTTTTGAACTGTTAACTGTGAACATTTTAGTGAGGCTGAACCCAGGCTCTACCTTCGAGATTCGTTTCCCATTGTATTCAAATTGTTCAGTTTAAATCGACTATCCTTCTAAGATGAGCAAGTTTGTATTTTTCACCAGAGGAAAGGCTTAAAGCCTGAAACGTGGTCATAACGCTTTTTGGAAGTTTTATCATGATAGCCCAAGAGGAAAATAACATACAATGCTCAGGAAATTTGTAAATGCAGGAAAGAGATGAACTTACGCATTTGTGATGAGTCATGCCTCATTGGAACGAGTGGTGAAAAATGCGCTGAGTCATAGCACAACACTAGTGGAGATCTTAAAACAAATCCTCATTTATATCATAAGAAAGAAAACTGAAGAAATTAACAAAACTCTAGACATCTCACCTATGACACTGATCCGATGGGCATTCCAACGGCAAGTAAATTCCACCAAACGATACTGGCGACAATTCTTCACCTTTAGCATTTCGTAAGACCTATAACATTGAATAACAGAATTTCCGATATCTCTGAAATGAGGACTTCATTCTGATACCAGAGAAGACGACATTAGAAAAATTGGGAGAGCAATCGAGCTCTATCAGGCCAAACAGGGGGCGAGGGGGGGGGGCGAGCTCAGAAGCGTTCGCAAAAGTGATCCAGGTAAGAAGAAAAAGAGCGGCTAAGCAAAAGCTGTCGGAAAAGAACTTGAGAGAAGTGAGATTGGTACAAAATGCGAGGTTTTCAGTAAATAGGGAGTGGAATGGGAAAACAAGTCTGTAGAGAGAAACCAACCGGGAAATAGTCACATCTATTAAGAGCTCCCTGGCTACACAAAAAAAATCCAAAATATTCCTGCAGCGTCAACATAATCACAAAATCAGCTCATTTACTATGAATAATCCAAGCATTCGTTACCTACCGTATCCGATACGACGATAATTGGCCTTTTTAGTACATGCGAGAGTGCAAACACGTGAATCGCTTCGAGGCTTTCATATATCTGATCAGTTGAGTCGGAACTCGAGTCGTCCGTTCTTCTTAAAAAAATTCTTCATGAAAACAGAACACGGACGGAGTAAGATGCTAACTTAGTTGAGGGGCCACGCGCGGCGCGGCAGTCTGCTCGCCTGGCATGTTCAGAAATCCGTGGGCCAGGGGGAGTGTAGGCCGTCTAGAGGGGTGGGGGGTGAGGGCAGTCACTTGACATGCGTGAAAAGCTGGAATGTTCGAGTTTACACTGTCTCGCTCAAGAGGGCCCAGGTGAGCAGACTGCCGCGCCGCCGCGTGCCCCCCCCCCAACTGAGTTAGCACCCGGAGTAATTCACGTTATGCTTTTTTCTTTGCTCCGATTAGCTCAAAGCTCTCATGGCATATAGTAAGAAAACCGGCATTAAATTACATCTTCACACACCTAGGTACCGGGGATGCCAACGCCACTATACCATTCCATTCCTGCATCCATTCTTCATCCGACAGCGTCAAACTAAGACCACTCGCCTAAAAGAAAGCTTCAGTTTTAGAGGAAGAAGAAATGATGAAAGTTTGAACCGCACAACAGTCCCACCTCCTATCAATGCCCCAACTCACATCACAACCTCTATTTAACACATTGGCGACAGCGCGACAACTACGTGTGTTGCCATTTTCCCACGTCGGACACCGTGACAAACATTTGTTTATTTACCAGTTTGGCTGCTCACGCAAGCGCGTACATCACACGGGACTGCATTAAAACAGAATTGTCAGTATTTTGTAAGGCTTTCTGACAAAGATCGCCCACCTCGCTTTACGCTCCCACCCACCCTTCCGACCTCCCATTCGTTGTCGAAGTTTTTCCACCTTTTTCTCCGGTCTCCGGGACATCTTGGGAGTGAGTCACGATGTTTCGTCGATAACCCCACTCGGTGCTCCGTCCACCAAGTGTTGATCTCCCTTCCATTGCCGGACTCTGTCCAGATTTTTTTCCAGTCTCCAGGACTTCCTGGAACCGAGTTATGATGTTTCGTAGGTGATCCGCCTACCAATAGCATTTAACTTCATTTCCTTCGCTGAGCTCTATCCACTTCTTCCCCGGACTCTGAGACTTTCTGGGAGCGAATTATAGCCTCGACGCAAACTCCGCCCACATTAGCGCACGCCCCACCCATAATTGCAACTGACCTCCGTTCCGTTGCCAGACTCGATCCACTTTTTTCCCGGTCTCCAAAACTTTTGGGAAGGAGTTGTAGTGTTTCGTGGATAACTCCGCCCACTTTTGTTCATGCCCCGCTCTCTGACAGCAGTTGACTCCATTTCCTTCGCTGACCTTCACCCACTTTTTCCCGGTCTCCAGGACCCTTTGGAACCGAGATATAAGTTCGGTAGAAAACTCAACCCACTTTTGTGCGCGCCGCACTCACCATAACACTTAACCTACCCTCCCGCTCTGACCTCTATCCACACGTTTTTCCCGCTATTTAAGACTTCTAGGAACCGAATAATGAGGACTTGTAGTACTGTCTACTTCAGGACACGCTCCGCCCACTGTGGGCAGGCCTCCACTCAGTCATGTATGCTATCGGGGCCAACACGTCCGAACAATGTCATTCATTACCTCGCCCATCCATGGTCGAAAATGAAAGGGCAATCAAGTACTATTTTGTTTACTTATGACGGATTTATTTGCTTTCTTGAACATTGGCGTACTATTGAGATCCCCACGTCCCCTCTAAACCCCTTTGAGACCTATCGTAATCGCCGCTTTAAAAGTACATATATGACTATGAATGCCAAACCCGCCACATTTCTTTTTCGCACATGCCCGAGTTCTTCCCAAGTTTTTTGTGTTCATCCTACAGGCCAGCATCAACATAACCAAAAATCCGCTCAGTTCACCCTCATTTCCTTTCAATTAACGTAAACACGTGAATGAAAGAGAGTAATAGATGTGAATACAAACTTAATCGCGTGGCAAGATAGGTATACACCGCTTTGCATAAATAGATATAGATCCACCTGAAAAGTTCTTGAAAATTCGCATGATAGGACTTTTCTGGGAAGCCCTTGGAAGAAAAAAGTGCTCCAGATAAATATGATTTTGAGTGCCAAAACAAACTTCGATCTCGAAAACGCGGCTTGCCGATTTCGCAAAAATATAAATCCACCCAGAGTCAACCCTGCGTTGCGCAGTTTTCAGCGGTCACGTTGCGCAGTTTGCCCGATTAGACACGTTCTCTCGCGCGACATTCACACTCGCATGCTCGAGCCGTCTGCGTCTCCGCCCATACAGCGTGCGTTGAGGATCTCTCAACGTGCCGTTGCGAAAATGCGCAACGCAGGGTTGACTCTGAATCCACCCCATGTTTCTCGGCATTGTTATTTGGTGGAACTGTCAGGTTGCAGAAAAAAGGCAAAACCTACGAAAGAGTGAGGAGATTTGCAATGTTGTGAGACGGCACCTGATTTGAGCCCCGCTTGAGTGCTTGTTGAGCACCATGCAGCATATGGAATCCAGAAATGAACTGAACTCTTTTCTTCGCGTTTTTATTGCGATATCCGTCACGTTATGGGAAAAGCAACCGATTCTCTCAAGGGGTGCTCAAGAATCCAGCCTTCAAAATAACCTAACCTAAGAACCAAAAGATTCAGTTCTCTTTTGGATTCCATGTGCTACAGATTCTTGAACAAATGCTTGAACAACCACATAAGCAGGGCTCAAACCACGCGCGGTTTGAATGCACCATAAATCTCATCATTTTATCGTCGATTTCGCCTTTTGTCAGAGTCCGATAGCGGTGCTACTTTCACCACCACCACGTCATCACCTAAAAAAGAGGAATTGGAAATAACCTGGCAGTTCCTCTAAATAACAATGACGTTCAACCGAGAAAAATGAGATGGATTTATATATTAGGTTGCTAACTTTGAAATGTCGCTTCCTGTAGTGGCTTTGTTTCTCAGCTGAAACTCAACCTCGTAATATGGGAGAACACCCATTCGATAGAGCAATGCAGTGCGCATATTGCGAAACCATAGCCGTCAGCGAGCGGATTCTTTGAGCCAAAACTTTTGCTCGAACATGATTGATCAGAAAACATCGCCTGAGCGTGTATACTCATGCAAAGAAAAACAGCCAAGTAATCCCACTCATTATGTGCAAAACATTGAGCAGCAACACTCAGTTTCTGGTGCACTTTCCGCCATGGTTTCAGCTCTTCTAAGACTGAGGTAAAGGAGCTGATGACGATGGTCGTGGATTCTGACCTCTAGCTCCAGATGAAGGAGAAATAAAGAAGGCCAACGAATTGAGTCCTCGACATACCGCACAAAACTTGCATGGAGATTCAGTTGTGTCAACAAAAAAATTTGAAAGTTCCTACGTGCGACTGTTAGGGCCTTCCACGAGAGAAAATGGGTTCGGCCTATTATGAGCGACAAGAGCAAGCAGTACTGGTTGCCAATACTTGAACTCTGCTGCATAACTCCAAGAAGAAGAAGGTTCCTGACTTCGATGAAGGCGTGTTTTACAGAAGGATGTTCCCCGATAGCAAAGTGAGAAGATGGCCGTGGTTGGCAACAGATGGGCAGCTGAGGGCCTCTCCGAAACCGGGCAGCCACAGAGAAAAAGCCTTGCTGCAGTATGGTGAAGCAGTACAAGAATGGTTCATACTGGAGAGCTGATTGTGCGTCATACAGTTACAGCTAAACTCTGCGCACAACATTCCGCAGGCGCGGGTCGGGCTCTACGTAGTCAAAGGGCAAATTCCGTCATTGAAACATTTTGGCACGATAATGCAAGATCGGAATGCAAAGGCGGAAGTGGTGCAGTGACAAGTGGCGCGCTCACCACGCGAGCGGTCTGGGATCAATTCCCGGGTCGTGAGTCGCCCGGGCCAACCAAGCCTTCCATCCCTCCGGGGTCGGTTACTTGGTGCCAGACTTGTCTGGGAGGATACAAAAAACCCTGACT